CCACCGCTCTTGACCACTACACCAAACCATGTGTATTTTTGTGGGTTTCCCCAGCAAGGCCCCCCCCCAGACTGTTTTTCAGTTCAGTTAAATTGTGCAGGGGAATGCTGAAGGTCTTGCTGAATGCATGCCCCACTCACCATCCAAAGTGCGCACAGGAGGTAAGGAGAACCCACACGGGATGCAGGGTGGGAACACTGTGTCCAACTTGTGCACTCTGCCATGCATAAGGAGGGCCTCGAACTCCCTTCTCTTCGATCAACTCTGCCACCCTGGCTTTAGTATAGGAAGAGCCATTTATGTACCTGGGGCTAGTTGCAAAGGAGGACAGGTAAGTCTCTGTTCCTTGAATTGTTGAGCATAATATTGGTACAGTTTGTTATGAGAAAGGCTTTGGGTTTTGTTGGGTTACACGATCAATGCTATCCCAGGTCCCCTCAGCCAAGGAGCAGTTTCCTCTTTAATTGTGGCACTCCTCATCTACAAGGGGGGAAAAGCAAATTAACCCAAACAGACCCTCCCGATGGCATGGTGATGAATAAGAGAGCCAGTTTGGTGTAGTGGTTAAGTGCGCGGACTCTAATCTGGGAGAACCGGGTTTGATTCCCCACTCTTCCACTTGCACCTGCTTGGATGACCTTGGGCAAGCCGTAGTTCTGATAAGAGCTGTTCTTGAAAAAAGAGCAGTTTATGTCGGAGTTCTCTCAGCCCCACCTACCTCACAGGGTGTCTGTTGTGGGGAGGGGAAGGGAAAGGAGTTTGTAAGCTGCTCTGAGACTCCCTTGGGTAGTGAAGGGCGGGGTATAAATCCAATCTCTCCTCCTCCTCCTCCTCCTCCTCCTCCTCCTTCTTCCCCATTTGGAAGGCTGGGCTCACACTGACGGAGAATGGATCAGAATATTCCTTAGTTAGGGTAGGGCCAGACGGATGGGAAATGATCCCCTCCGGCACTTGTACGCACTTCGAAAAGCGACTTGGGATTATTCACTGCCACTGTCAGAGCAAGAGTGGTGCAGTGGTTAGAGCATCAGACTAGAATCTAGGAGACACGGGTTTGAATCCCCACTCTGCCACAGAAGCTCACTGAGCAGGTGACTCAAGGAGGTGGGTCACACGCTCTTAGCCTGACCTACCTCGCAGGGTTCTCGTTGAGAAGATAAAATGGAGGAGGGAAGAAGCCACATTGGGGAAAGAAAGCAAGGTATAAATACCGGTAGATATCAATTAAAAAAAATCAAGCACCACTTGCTGTGGAGGTGCTGGCCATGAATATGACTGATGTCTTCCTGGGGAAAATGACCACATCTTGCCTGATGGGAAATTTCAGTGTGGATTTGGAGACGGGTCTCTTGGCTGATGTTGTAAGCACACACAAATCTCACTTAACTGTGCAATCCTATGCGGAATTACTCCAATCTAAGCCCATTAACTTCAGAGTGGAACAGCTATGCGTAGGAATGCACTGTTAAGAGAGAGATAAATGGCTGAAAATGGGATAGGTATGATAGACCTGTATGATCCAAGAGGACAGATGGGGTAGAAGCAGTTTCCATAAAACGAAACGTAACATAGGTAAAGGTAAAGGTTTCCCTTGCTCGAAAGCCAGTCGAATCCGACTCTAGGGTTGCGGTGCTCATCTCCATTTCAAAGCCGAAGAGCCAGCACTGTCCGAAGATGTTTCCGTGGTCATGTGGCCGGCATGACTAAACACCAAGGCGCATGGAACGCTGTTACCTTCCCACTGAAGTGGTCCCTATTTATCTACTTGCAATTTCTTGCTTTCGAACTGCTAGGTTGGCAGGAGCTGGAACTAGAGACAGGAGCTCACCCCGTCTTGCGGCACCCGGGTCTTGAACTGCTGAACTACTGCTAAATCCTGGCCCAGACCTTGCTTCCTCTGCAAGCAAGACCAGCCCTGCAAGAGGGCAGCTGCGCACCTCATGAGATTAGAACGTTCTGAACAAAACAGAAGGATCATTTCAAGCACGACTGGCCTCAGCAATGGGCTGGGTGGGGCACATTCCCAAGGCCCTCCCCTGCTGAGAAATAATTGTGTGTCCCCCCCCCTGCAAACTTCACACCACAGTAAAGTGGAGAATGGCATCTTTATCACTTCATGGTGATGGATGCTAAGCTCTCTCCAAGGTGCCAAGGGACAATTTGCTCATTCTATTCGCACAGCACTCTCCCTCTCTTTTGTAATAGCAAATCAGTGGATATCAGGGAGAATTGGGGGGGGGGATTCTGCTCGTCCCGGATACAAAAGGAAAAGGTGGCAGAAGGGTATGGATTGCTGGTATCTAATATTTGTGGCCAGTGTTACGATAGTAGCGGGAAAAGGAGCGCAGGCCATTGTTCTACCAAAAAAAATATATCCTCGGGCTTTCTTTGTACCTTGACCTCTCCACAACCAGTGCTCCCTCTAAGCTGTGGAGTCCTGTGAGCAAAAACTCTACTTTGTGAGCTACTGACATTAAAGTTGTGAGCAAGCAACTTGGCTACTGCATAAATGAGTTTGCTCTGGAGCCATCCTTCTTGAGCTAAGACACAGATTTTTGGAGCTGAAGGCTAAAAAACTGTGAGCTAGCTCACACTAACTCAGCTTAGAGGGAACACTGCCCACAACTGGAATCATGTGCTGGTTCATGCTGGAGACAGTTCTGGAGAGGCAAAGGTGTGTGTGGTTTTTTTGCAATATCCCATCACGTGTAATCGGTTTTTTCCCCCTGGAATAACAAAATGCTGGGAAGTGGCTTTACAGCATTTGCCGAAACTGACCGTAAAAGCTCTGTCTCAAGACATCTTGGAGTGCTACATGTTGGAGCAGATGCTGACAAATTGGTTTTGCTGCAATTAACACAACCAGTTGATGCATTAGAGGTTCTTTATCATGGTACACATCTTGTGGGCCACACCCGTACACACACAGAGAGGCAAAAAATGTATACTTTGCCATCTTTGTGCCCGATTAGGGCCAGTTTGGTGTAGTGGTTAGTAGCGCGTATTCCCTACAGTGTCATTTTATAGTCTGATGTATTTTTTTTACTCAACCATGGTGTGACTTGTTATGGCCTATGGCTAAGACAATAAAACTTATCTATCTATCTATCGTACTCTAAACTGGGAGAACTGGGTTTGATTCCCCAGTCCTCCACATGGAGCCCAGCTGGGTGACCTTGGTTCAGTCCCAGTTCTTTTGGATCTGTTCTCTCAAGAGCAGTTCTCTCAGAGCTCTCTCAGCCCCACCTACCCCACAGGGTGTCTGTTGTGGGGTGGGGAGGTGAAGGGAAGGGAAGGAGATTGTAAGCTGCTCTGAGACTCTGAGTGAAGGGCAGGGTGTAAATCCAATCTCCTCTTCTTCTTCTCTCCTCAAGGCATCAAATTAAAAAAGATAGTCAATAGTTTTATAAAACAATACACAGGTATAAAGCCAACCATTAAAAGATTTGGATTGTGATTTTTTTTGAGGATTAAGTTAGCATCAAAGAAGTAACTCTTGGTTAAAGAAATCAAGTGATACACTTCTCATTATTAAAAATAAGTTTTGTTTTTGTATTGTCTGTGGCTCCTTTGATTCTGTGTTGAGTGATAAAATTAAAGTCCCTTCTCTCTGTTGGACGGCTCCAAATGAAAACCTTCAGTGTGTTGGGATTATTCAGCCGCTTAAGCATTTTGGGGGGATAAGGATTGGCCTCTTTCAGTGATGAGAGGGGAGACATTTGTTCTGCCGACCCTCAGACCCAGACTTCTCAGAAACGGCATTTGCATTTGCCTTTTTTGAGTGACGCCGATTTAATTGAACAGCGCTCCAAATAAAATCACGGGAGGCATATTTCCCTCTCTCTGGTTTTATACAAAGTAATGGAAATAATTAAGAAAGGGAAATTATGTACGATCCCTTTAGCAGATTGAACAAATTGAAATGGAAAAGAGGAGTGGCTGAAGGGGGGGGAAAGGAGAGCTGACGGGGAAGGGCCAAATGGAAGGGATGAGGGGAGAACAGGGCTATTTTGGGGCAGGAACGCACAGGAACGGAGTTCCGGCTGGCTCCCGAGTTGGCCACGCCCAGCAGGAACGCATTAGCATAATAGGCCACACCCAACAGCAGAAACTCATTTGGATTGGCTACATTAGGGGTGTGTGGCCTCACATGCAAAGGAGTTCCTGCTACAAAAAAAGGCCCTGGGTTTTGACAACAAGCAAGGTAAACAGAATAAGAAGCAAAAGGTGGGTGTGCCTGGATAACCACACTTCTGGCAACATGGGGGTGCAGCCTAATATGCTAATGAGCTATGCTCTCATGGGTGTGGCTGGATATGCTAATGAGTTTCTGTTGTTGGGTGTGGCCTATTATGCTAATGGGTTCCTGCTTGGCTTTTTCTGCAAAAAAAAGCCCTGGGTGAGAGGGAAAACAGGACTGGACCGAAGGGGAAAGGGGAGCCCCCAGATATATTCCATTGTCCGGGGCCCACTCAAATGTGGAACCAGCTCTGATCCAAGCCCCTTTTCCACCAAGCCCTTTAGCTAACTTCCCACAGATTCAGTCATTCAGATACTTTATGCAAACGACAGTATTCATGTACCTTCGTTTAAGCCACCTGCAACCAAGAAATTATCTTTTCATATGAATGAACTAAAGTCGCAGAAGAGCCCATTGCAATGGGGCTTGTGTAGAGAGGAGGCCCCGGTGGATTGTGCCCGTATGTTGCCTCCTTGGGGGATTGGCTGTCCATCAGAGCACCAGACCAAACTCCTGTCCATCAAAGGGAGGTACTTCACAACCGGCCTCTTTCTGCTGTACCTCCCTACTACAGAACGGTGCAAATTGAAGGCCTGCTTTAAAGGCGGTTACAAACCCAGAGCACTCAGAACGTTTAACGGACACTGCCGGCTTCCCACATCTTTACTCCTGAGGGCTAGAGACACGCACTCTTTAATTTAACACACAAATCTTAGAGTGTGCTTTGCTTTATGTTGCTATTTCTCGGCTTCCCCTGCAGAGAATTTGCTCGCTGGAAGGTGAACAACTTGGCACTGGAAAGGAAAGATTTCTTCAGCTTGCCTCTGCCTCTGGCTCCAGAATTCGTTCGCAACATTCGCCTTCTGGGGCGGCGGCCCAGCTTCCAACAGATCACCGAGACCCTGATCAAGAAATACGGGACCCATTTCCTGCTCTCCGCCACTCTAGGAGGTGAGTGCACAACATTCCCTCACTGTGAGGTTGCTCGATTGAGCACACACACACACCACATCCCCAGCTGATATCTCATAGCCCCAAGCAGCATAGCTGAGCTTTCTGATTAGGTGTTTTGTTTTCATACATACATATATAATATTTTTTTCCTGTGTACGGCCAACATCTGGAAGCTTGCTGGAATGGGGACAGATCTGCTAGTGTGACAGCTGTGAGGCTGCAGGCTGTCTTGTGAAGTCGGTCCCCGCGTATGGAAAGCCCGTGCTGCAGAGAAACTGTTGGGTGATAGTGAGATATTGAAAAAATGGTATTTAGCAGAGATGAGATAGTCCAGCAGAGCCAGAGTGAAATAATTCAGACTCAGAATCCATGTGTGATTAAAATATAAAGTTTTTACTAAATTCTAGCATGGGAAGGGTAACTGGGATAAAAATAACAACAGAGCAAAATCTACTACATCCTTACTCTACAAAGACAACTAGAAGAGAGAGTATGGCTACTCTTCTTGTTCTTCAGAACACCAAAGATGGGAAGAGAAGCCATAAAATGGTAATACACCTTGACACTTTAGTCCCAATCAAATTCCTGGATCAGGGAGAAAATTCCTGGGCATTCTACAGCTAAAGAACATTGGTTACATGAGAAACATGTGACTTCCTGTGAGTAGCATAAACAAACATTTAACCCCAGATATACTGAGTGTTTTCAACTTGTAATACCCAACAGAAACAACTACAGCCAAGCCTTAAGCACGTTTCCAGAAATGTAAGTAGGGTTGTCAATGAGCCTGGAGAAAAAGATCCTGTCCCTCTTAATAGAGCGTTAATAGGATGTTACTTACCAGGTGGGAGGGAAGGCCAGTCTTGGCAGATCTCGGAAGCTAGGCAGGTTGATGGTTGGGTGGGAGACCACCAAGGAAGGCTCTGCAGAGGAAGGCAAGGACAAACCACATCTGCTTCTCACTTGCCTTGAAAGCCCCTTTCTGGGGTCCCTGTAAGTCAACTGCAACTTGGTGGCACTTATGTATGTGTTTACTAGGTGAGGTTATTTACCTCCATGTCCTGAAAAGCTTCAGTAGAAGGAGGCTTAGCATTCCCACCCTCTGGTAGTGTAAAGAAGGTCCTCTTCCTTGAGGGACAGCAGATTTTTCTCCTGGCCTGTTGGCAACCCTAAACATAAGATTGCTGCTTTGTACCTTCAATCTGCAGTGTCCATCATGCGAAGCGATTGTGCGGAGCTACAGCTAGAAAAGGATCCCTTCTATCTGTCTGCCATGTCTTTATCTCACTCCTTCCTCTTAGGAGCTCAGGGCAACACACCTGGTTCTCTCTTCCTCCTTTTTAGCTTCACAACAACTCTGGAAGGCCTGAGAGGGAGTGACTGGCTGTTGGGATTCTTTTTTTTTTTTTAATAAAGGCTTTATTTACTCTCCTAAAAAGGAGAGGTATTTCGCTTAAGTAGAAAAATAGGGAGGGTATATAGTGGGAGAAAGAGAAAGCTGAGTGATATATTAACTTGTAAATTAATCTGTTAGTAATGTCCAAATTATCTTCTTAGGCTTCTTCTGTGTGCAGTCAAACTTCTTTCTTCAAACCAGTTAAAGGTGTTATCTATGTTAGTGTATTAGTAGTGTCCATTCGATGCTCTGTTAGTTAAAGTTTCCTCGAGGCACATTCAGAACCGCTCCTTCGCGTGCTGGCTTCTTTTAAATTCCCAATTTCATGGAGGAGCTTCTTCTGTTTCCCTCTCTCCGGCTTTTCCAGTCCTCCTCTGGGTCGCTGTTAACGCTTCCATTTCATATACTGTAAATCTTCACTCTTTCATGCTCTTTCATGCCCTTTCAAAAGATCTCTAGCTCTGAGAATGGATATTCTTTTTTTTTTATTCCAGTTTCACTTTTAAACGCTGCCATTCTCTTCGCTGGATCTTCCTCCGCAACTGTTGACTTTTAAAAGCGCTTATAAGGCACTTTCTCGCTGTCACAGTTCAGCTTTTCTCACAGTTCCC